TGTATGTGTATAATTTATTTAAGTGCTACTTGGAGCTGTCGCAGTCCAGTAAGCAAATAATAATGTACATTTACTTCATTTTATGACACTTTTATTTGTATTTCAAGGAATGAAATTAAATATAGAAACTGAAGCTAAGTTACACTGCATTTCTGACATTGTCTGGCATGTACTAATATAGGGTTGACAGAAATTTACATTAAAGCCATAACTAACCTCAAAAAAAAAAAAGACAGGTTCTTCCCATGTTGTTGTTATATTTGGGTGGAGTCAGAAACGACCCATAGCTGACCCTCTAGCAAATTTTCAGAGGTGGTAAATCACACAGGAAAGCAGTCCTCTTTCTCCCACAGAGCTGCTGGTGAATTATCACTGAGCCACAAGACCTCCCTTATGGACTGGAAATCTTGATGCTACTTGAAGTAGCAACCGACTCAATGGCTTTGGATTTATTAATAATTTTTCAAATTAATCTTTTAAAAGAAGCAGCTCATCAAAACAACTATGAAATATCATTTTACCCCAGTAACAATAGCAAAATTCAACAGAGCAGCAAACAACAAATACTGGCGAGATTGTGGAAAAACTGGGACCCTTATCCACTGTTGGTGGGAGTGTAAAATGGTGCAACCACTATGGAAGGCTGTATGGTACCTTCTCAAAAAGATGCAAATAGAGATACCATTTGACCCAGCAATTCCTATACTGGGAATATACCCCTAAGAAACCATAACTGCCACCCAGGCAGATATATGAACATCCATGTTTATGCAGCTTTGTTCACAATAGCAAAGGGATGGAAGCAAACCCAAGTGCCCATCAATAAACGAATGGATAGAGAAGTTCTGGTATATTCACACAATGAAATACTATGCAGCACTGAAAAGCCAGAACTCATGAAATATTATCTAAAATGGGTGACCCTGGAGGATATTATGCTGAATGAAATATCTTAGTCACAAAAGGACAAATCCTGTGTAATGCCAATGTTATAAAACAGGATGGATATGGGGGTTGGGAGAAAACTAAGAAAAGAGGAGATAAATAATGTACACTGCATTGAAACAGACAAGGAATAGAACTGCTTAAAAGGAACATGTAATTAGGTATTATTTGCATGACAATAGTCCAGAATAAGAGCTGCAAAGTCAAGTGGATTGAGGGGATTGCACAACAATGAAAGAAACGTTTTTCATAGAGAAAAGAGAACTGGGGTGTGGACAGGGAGAAAATGTGCAACAATGAATGATTGGAAATCCAGGTTCTCTATAAACTTTCATTAAAATTTAATTTAAATTTTCATTTAAAAAAAGAAGGGGAAAAAGAAGCAGTTCTTGGCTATGTGAATCCTCTCTTTTGCATTGCTTCGTTGTTTCTTGATTAGTTCCTTTGGTCTTTAGTTGAATTTGGTTTTCAATCTTGAGTTGGGAGTGTAGAAAATTATTTTGAAACCTTTTTTAAAGCTATAAATGGTCCTCTAAGCACTGCTTTAGCTGTATCTTACAATCATTGAAATTACTGATCCTTTCACAGCACTCCACTTCAACTAGTGATTTCTCATTTGATTCATTTGTTAGTTAAGTCTCAAATTTAAGATTTTGGAGACTGTCTAGGTTGATTGGTTTGTTTTTCTGTTGCTGAGTTCAGGTAAATTCAGAGAGGATACTGCGTTAACCGCAGTCCTTTGGAATTTGTTAAGATGTGTTTATGGTCCATGAGATATGCACTTGAAAAAAATAAAAACCCAAGCCACTGCCAACGAGTTAGAAGGATTCCTAGCTGACCCTCCGGTGAGTCAGTGCTAAATTCCATGGGAGATTTTCTCCCTCAGAGCCTCGGTGGATTCCCACAGACAGTGAGCAGAGGAACATGTGGCCTCTAGGTTAGCAGACAACCCGCTCCTGGCCACAAGAGCTCTCCTGCGTGCACCTGTCAGGACTGAGTCTTCTCCACCTGGCTAAGTGTTGTGTATGAATACACAAGGTCAAACTGTGCAGGTGAGTCAGGAATAGATGCACCAGCAGAATAAAGAAACAGACCCTCACCTATTTAGACAGTTGAAGTATGACAAGAATTGTGCTCCAGTTCAGTGAGGGAAAGATGACCTTTCAATATAAAGAACTAAAACCAAAACAAAGCCCACTGCTATCTGGTTGAGTCCAAGTTTTGGCCACCTCCACAAGAAATCCCAGGTTGTACTCTGGGAGGAGGGGAGCCTGCCCATCTTTCTCTAGTTAGGCAGCTGTGTAGTGCTCACCCTTGGGCCACCAAGGCTCCTTTCCAGTACCTTCTCTGGGTTAGGGAAAGGTGCATTTTCTACTTCTCTGCCTCCCATCATTCCCAACGACGCGTTGATTTCTGACCCATCACAGATCTGTAATTGAGCTTCTGGAAGATATCAGAATCTCATCAAGAAAAATGACCACCCAGGGAGCCAAGAAAACCCTTCATGAACAGTAACTGTTTATGAAAAGCAAAAGCAAGCCGCGTGGGAGATGTGTGCAGTGCAGGCGTCAGACAAGGCCTCGCCAGATGCATCCAGATGCGAGCTGCGTCCTTATCCAGAATCCATAAGGGCCTCTAGGCAGTCATTTCTCATGGACAACAGGGTTTCAGAGCGTAGCCGGGAGGAACCTAGCGACCGGAGTCCAGGCTAGCTAGTCCCTGACTACCTGACACACGCCCCACGGCCTTCCTGGTCACCCGCTCCCAACCCATCCCCAAAACCCGCGCGTTCCTCCTTAAATCAGGAGGTGGCAAGGGCGGATCCTGGCGCGGCTCCTCAACTCCTCCCCCCCGATTGCCTTTCCCTTAGAAGGCGAAGCCCCAAGCCTTTCCTCTTGTCGGTGAGTACTCGCCCCGAACTCCCCTCGTCCGACAAGTTCCCAGCCAGAGCCCCTGAGAGCCCTGGGAGGATCCGCGGTCCTGCGCTCCTGCCAGGCGCGGGCGTGGACCGAGCGGCCGCCGGGGTGGGGCGCGCGTCCTTATGGGTTTGAATGGAAGGCTGAGATCGGCGGAGCTGGCGGCGAGCAGGTCGTGAAGCCCGGACTCCGCCCCCGCCGGCGCGCCATGCGGCGGGAGAGGTGAGCCGGGGCATCCGCCCCTTGGGTGCAGGGAGGCTGGGGAGGTCCGGAGGTGACTGGCCCTGCTCCTGGGTTGGGAGCCGGGGTCCTGCCTCTTTTGGGCACTCTGGGCCGCGCCCTCGCCCCTCGGCGCGCGGCCTCCTCTTCCAACTAGGACAGGGCGGCCGCAGGGCGAATCGCTTTCCCGGTCCCTCCCACCACGGACTGGTGCGGCCCGAGTCGTTCTGACTTGATTCCTAAACTAGAAGGCAGTGTGACCACTGGCTACCAGGGGCGCGCCCCTCCGGCTGGTTCCTCTGTACGTCCCGGCCTGGCGCACGGAGACGTTAGCTGGGCACCGCCGCGGAGCCCCCTCCCCACGCCTGGCCTGGCCTCCTGGCTACGTGCCTCGGGTCGCCTGTCCCTCCTCACTGAACGCTGTCTGCCTGCAGGTGCGGCGCCTCCCGCCCGCGTCCCCGCCATGGAAGTGCTGCGGCGCTCCTCCGTCTTCGCTGCCGAGATCATGGACGCCTTTGACCGCTCGCCCACCGACAAGGAGCTGGTGGCTCAGGCCAAGGCGCTCGGCCGTGAGTTCGTGCACGCGCGACTGCTGCGCGCCGGCCTGGCCTGGAGCGCGCCCGAGCGCGCCGCGCCCCCGGGTGGCCGCCTGGCCGAGGTGTGTGCCGTGTTGCTGCGCCTGGGTGAGTACCGCCCAGGGGACCTCGCCAACCTCGCGGCCTCGGCTTCCCACCGGGAGGGCGGCGCAGGGGCGAGGCAGCTCCACCCAGGCCGAGCCCCCATCCTCCCGCGTACGCTTCTAGACCTGCCCGGTACAGCCCAGATTTTAGGCCTTCTGGCCACAAACAGCAGAACGTCCTCAAACAATGAAGGTTTGGTGGCTAAACCTGGGTCTGACCTCTGTACTCATCTGGGCACAGAAAGCCTTTGTGGGACACGTGGTCTGTGTTTGCTTTGAACTGAACCTTAGGGCTAGTGCCTACCGCCTGCCTGACCTCTTCCTTCCAATGGTCTCCCAGGGGATGTGGGGATGCTGGTGGACAGAACCCTGCGGAGACCAGCAGGGTGGACACCAGTGTTTACATTTTTAGGGGTGACAGCCTAGGGACTCTCCCAGGGTCCTGACTGCTGGAACTGGGTTGTCACCACTGGAATTTGATGGTCCAGGGGCCTGAGGGAGTAGAAACTGCCCTCTTGGGGGCTGGGAAGGACAGGTGGCACCTGAAATGGTCACTCTCTGGCATGCAGAGGGAGCCCCCATTTGAGGTGTGGTCAAACCTTCTCAGCTGCCTCAGGACCTCCTGTTGTTCACACCGTGTTGGCACTGACCAGGCACCCCATGTCCACCAGCAAGCCCAGGAGTATGAGGTGGGCCCCAGGGGGCAGTGCTGAAGGCTCTCCAAGAAGGGGTGGTGTCACTCCAGGGCTAAATAGAGGAGTGTTTTCTATGTGGAAGGTGTGAGTTTGAGCCAGAAGGCAGGGCGTTGGGTGCAGGGCTGCTCTCTGAGCTGTGTCCCCCCCACTCCTCCCAGAGCTTTCCGCTCCCTGGAGGCTCCTGGGCGGTTCCTCTGGCTGCAGGATGGACCAGAGCCATCTCTGCCTCTGGCTTGGTTTGCTGTGTGACCCAAGGGTTAGGGTTCCCCCTGCTTCAAGTCTGGGAGCTTGGAGAGGAAGAGGGGACGCCAGGCCAGTCAAGTGCAGGTTGAACTGTTCCTGAGCTTTACCTCCAGGCCCTTGTCCAATACCCTTATCCCTAGTGTCCAGGGCTCAGCCCGTTCCAAATGGCAAGTGGGTCCTAGACTTCCTGGTACACATGTGGCCAGCCTATCTCCTTATCCCTTAGTCTCTCTGGGTCTTGATGCCCGGGCAGGGCCCACAGGAAGAAGCGAGCCCCTGGAGTCATATCCCTAGTGGCCAGACTCCAGGGGCTAGTCTCAGCAGCTCATAGCTGCGTGGGAACAGCCAGGCCAGCCCGGGAAATTTCCATGGCACCCCTCCCCCCCACAGCCCTCCTGGGCCTGCGTTTTAATTAATCGGTAGTGCAGCTGCCAAGTGGGGGGGCTGTGTGAGCGCTAAGGTCTGACCTGCAACATTCTGCCTTCCCTTTGGAGGTACATACATTGTGGTGTGGCATGCAGGCTGGCGTGGCACACAGGTTTGGGCAGTGACCAGCTGCACAGACCCCTGTAGATGACAGCATGGGGCCTTGAGAGGCCTGAGCTGACTGCCACCCTGGCTTTAGCACAGGATGGGCACCAAGGGACCCAGTGTTTGGGCTCAGTTCTGCCAGGGGCACCTCCCAGCCATGATGCCCCAGGGCAGAGGTGGGGTGGGTGTGGGGCTCTGCACCCTGGCAGTTCCGTGTCCCCCCTGCCGCTCCCCTCTGCTGCCCTCAGGCTGTGACTCACGCACCCGGCGCCTGGCCCATGCTCCTGATTCCCGCCTCACCGGCCCAGCCGACTCCCAGGGCTGGGCTGTCAGGAGGGCCCCCAGTTCTCAGATTAGGTCTCAGGGAGCACAGCAACACGAGAGCCCCTTGTCCTTGACTGCAGAGGGGTCAAATGAGGTGAGGTGTGATGAGTTCAGGCAAAGGCCTCAGGTTACGTGAAATGGGCCCTCAGACCACCGTCTGTGCAGGGGACGAGCTGGAGATGATTCGGCCCAGCGTCTACCGGAACGTCGCTCGCCAGCTGAACCTCTCCCTGCAGTCCGAGAGCATGGTCACTGACGCCTTCCTGGCCGTGGCCACACAGATCTTCTCTGCAGGTAAGTGGGCCACGTCCACACCTTCTCTTGGGCGCCCCTAGCCACATGCTCTCTCTCTTTTACCTCTTGCCTTGCCCATGGCCCACTCTGGCCTCACCTTAGGTCCTCACAAAACACCGCTGGGGTGCTTTATCATCTGGAGACAGCCTGACCCAAACCAGGGCCTTAGTCCACCCTGGTGCTCTGAAGGGGGAGGTGGACACACTAGACACGCCTAGGCTCAGCCACTGTGGGGAGCCTGGCTCTGGCCAGCGTGAGGAGTACTGTTAGCCAGAATCTGCCTGTGGTCTCATGTGGAACCCTGACCGCATGACTGCTGCCTGCGGGACTTTCTAAGATGGCTGGGCAAGGCTCTTTAGTGGTCACTGGGTCATCACTGAATTTTGTGGGTCAGAAGCAAGTTACAGGGAAGTCTGGTCCTAGGGAGGGGCTGTCTCCCCGACATGGTCATTCGGGGTCACTGACCCCTCCTGGTTCTTGGGACACCCTGTGAGGAGGTGGTCCTACCCCAGCCACCACCCCCAGGACTGCCTGCCCTCTGAGAACTCCAGCCCTTCCCACCCTGTCACCTCTCAGCCCAGATCACCCCGCCCTCAAGGTGCGTACAGGTGTTAGTCCAGGCGCTCAGCGCCAGGGAGTCCCCAGTTGGCTGTGACCTTGGGAGTCCAGCTGTGCACCCCCATGGAAGAGACTGCAACCTCAGAAGCCTGCCCCATCAGGTGTCCTGTTTGGCCGAGTGGCTTTCACCACCTGCAGAGGAGGAAATGGCCCGGGAGAAGGGAACTGCTGACCTTGGCGTCCCCTACCCACTCCTCTGACCCCTCATGCTCACACGGGTGGCTGACTGATATTCATGGATCCTGGGCTGGGATGTGGGGACGGGAGGGGCTGGAGTGCAGATCCCCAGGAAGTTTGCCAGGGAGAGGCTCAGGCACACCTGTGGGGCAGGTGCCAGGTTAGTCCCTCCTGGAGCTGGTGCCTCAGTGTGAGGGGGCAGAGCAGCCAGTGAATGGCAGGCTGGGGGCACGCAGGCGGGAAGGCCTCCTGCATCTGCACCCTGATCCACTGACACCAACTCAAGTGTCCAGTTAGATCTGTGGGTACCAGGGGTGGGAGATCCAGGGGTGGGGGTGCAGGATAGGTGGTTGGGGGTGAGTATTCAGGAGTGGGCAGTCCAGGGGTGAGGGACAGAGATGGGAGGGCCAAGGGCAGGGAGGGGGCAGGAATAGGCACCCCCACTGTCCACTGTGCTCTGGGTTGGCGCCTGTGTGTGGGTGGCCATGGGCCGGAGCCCAGGGATTGTCTGTGGTTTATGAGCCTTGGCTCCAGTTGCCTTTAAAAGGAAGGATGTCCTGAGGGAGCCTTGGCCCTCAGCGGCTCTGGGGACGTGGGGGCCAGGGCTCTGGGGCGGGGGTGGGGGTCTGAGCACCTGTGGAAGTAGAGGCCGGGTGCCTGGGAAGATGGGGGCCTAGGGAGGAGGGGGTGTGAGCGCCTGGGGAGTTGAAAGCCTGGCGCTTGGGGAAGTGAGGGCCAGTACCTGGTGAGGTAGAGGTCAGAGTGCCTGGGGGGTGGGGGTAGGGTGCATAGGGAATGGTGGCCAGGCATCTGGGAATGTGGGAGCTGTGCATCTGGGGAGGTGAGAGTGGGCATTTGGGGAAATAGGGGTGTGACGCCTGGAGAGGTGGGGGTCAGGGCCTGGGGAGTTGGGGGATGGGCATCTGGGAAGGTGAGGGGGGCTTGGCACCTGGAGTGGTGGAGGTAAGGGCCTGGGGAGGTGGGGGCCAGGGTCCCTGAGGGGTGGAAGCCAGGCATCTAGGGAGGTGGGAGATGGGCATCTGGGGAGATGGGGGGATTGGTGCTGGAGTGGTGGGGGAGATGGGGGACTCTGTGTCTGGAGAGATGAGATCAGGGCTCTGGGGAGGTGTAGCTGGGTGTCTGGAGGGTGAACAGACAAAGCCCAGACTGGGCATGCTCACCCACACTCCCGAGGTGAATGCTCCCAGGAATGCTTGGAAGGGTCCCCTGAGGAAGGGTTAGCATAGATGTCTTGTCTCATTTGCTGGAAGGTCACTTTACATCTGGGGTTCTGTTTGTCAACACCTCCACATCCCGCCTGGGTTCTCCTGTTCTGGATGGCCTGGTCACGGTAGGAGCATGGCCTCACAGGTGCTTTCTTGACCTCTCTGAGCAAACCAGACAAGATCAGGGTTAGGGTGGGGACTTCGGGGGCCCTGGAAGCCAAGCTGCTGCCCAAGCTGCTGCCAGGTGGGCAGGTCAGTCCTTGTCTGCTGCTGAGCGACTGGACGTCTCCCCGCCTTGCATTGCTGTGCGGGTCTGGGCGTGCACTGGCATGGCAGAGATGGCCGGGGGGCACCCTTCTGGCCTCTGCGCTTACTTTGGGCTCAAACTTCCCTTCAGAAGAGAAATTTTGTCTACTTACTACAAAAGCAAAATATTTCACCGCAGAGAAATCAAGTGGTAATAACTCCAACAACTCAACAATGGAGAACCTAAAACAGCCAGAGGACTTGACACTTCCCCAGAGAAGACATCAGACAGACCACAGGACGTGAGCAGGTGCTCACACCACTGCTGTTGGAGGTGCTGACTGGCCCACACTGGCACCACACACCTGCTCGGGGCCTTCTGAGGTCACCGTATTGGCCTTGGCTTCCCCCCCTCCAAGTGGCTGGTAGACTTGAACCACTGAACTGTTTGCAGTCCAGCACTTAACTCACTGTGCAACAGGCTCGAAATGCAAATCACCTCCAGTGAGGTGCCTCTTCATCCCCACTGGGATGATGCTTACCAGAAGGTTGGAAAACAAGTGCTGGTAAAGAAGTGGGAAAGCGAGGCCTGTTGTCAGAGGGACTGCAGGCGTTTGTCAGCTCCTCTGAGTTTGCTTAGAATTGCTACAGGGCTTGGTCCACGCTGCTGCACATACACACCCACGTATGTGCACATACCTGAGAGATGTGAAAGCAAAGATGCAAACAGGTACAAGATCCCCACGTCCACAGCAGCCCTTCCCCAAGTCAAACTCGAGGACCACTTGTATTTCATCACAGGAGGATGGTTGACCAGAGTGTAGTCCTGCACGCTGACACCACCAAGTCCCAAGGCAGTGAGATGGGTGATCTGACCAGCCGAGTGCGTCTGTTAGCCACAGGAGGAAAGCGTCAGTCGGTGGCAGCCTGTTGTCTCCAGTCCACTGCCCTGTGCTGCCCCAGCAGAGCTGAACCCACCCTGTCCTGCTCCATCTTGGAGCTCTACGCCGTGCTCAAGCCCATTGTTACAATTACTGTACCAGCCATCTCTCTCTATCTGACCTTCCACCTTTCCCAGCTTGATGCCCTTTTGCAAGAACTGGCCCCTTCTGACAATAGGCTCAAAGTATGTGAGATGAAGGTTCACCATCCTTGTCTCTGAGGAGCCCTTAGTTGCACTTCTTCAGGACAGACTCACCTGTTCTTTCGACAGTCAATGGGGATATTTAGTACTCTTCCCAGCACCACAGCTGAAAGACATTGATTCTCCTGTCTTTAATCACTGTCCCACTTTGAGATGCCTAGAAAGCAGTTCAAAATGCTGTGACATGGGGCAGAAAACTATGACTTAGGACAGATGCACCTTAATCTTTAAACTGACATCCTTGCAGAAACCCTTTACACGAATTGTCCAAATGCAGCACATTCACAGAGATGGGAATGGGGTTGAGGTCGGGGGTTGTGACAGCTAATGCTGTGGGATTTCTTTTTAGGGTGATGATAGCATTATGATTCCTGTGAGCAGAGGGCTGGGACTGCTGGGCACAGATGGGATGGACAAGGGCAGAGCAGAGCTCCAGCCCTGGGGGCCCCTGCCTGGTCAACAGCTTCTCATCAGGGAGTATACCAGCAGGTCCTAGTCACTGGGTGTCCCTGCTGGCCTCAGAGGACCCTAGGAGGATTGGAGTGGGCCCAGGGGCTGGCGACCTGGATGTCAGGAGTTTCCTATGGAGGTGGGGTCCGCAAATGGCCCCCTGGACAGCTCAGGTGATTTTGTCCCTGCACGTGAGGTACATTTTGATCATAGAGTGACACCTGATTTATGGTTTCACATGAACACAGCCTGGTGCTGTGGGACAGTAGACAGAGGTGTGAGTTTCCCCTACTTTGAGGCCTCCCCTCCTCACGGGATAGACATGTCTGCGGTGGTGAGAGTATTAGTTCACCTCCCTGAGCCCACTTGGGTACATTCTGCCCAGATGTGATTAGCTTGGGGTACCTAGAAGAGGAGGCCCTGGGTGGTCCGGTGCCCTGAAGTGACAGGAGGAGGGTGGGAGTGATGCATGGAGCCAGGGCCCACGAGGGGGACCGAGGGGCAGCTGGAAGGGGGCTGGTGACACCTTCATCTCAGTTTCTGTTGGGAAGTCGGGTGGTCTACAGACTTGTGGGGACATGGACACTGCATCGGGGGTAACTGCCTGCCCCTCTGGCAGATGGGGGCTGAGTGAGTGCAAGGGTCCTGGAGAACCTCGGCAGAACTGAGGACCTGGAGATGCACAGGACTGATGGACTAGGTTTGGGCAGGGCTGGCCACCTAGTCATTTGACTCAGCTAGGTCCCCATCAGGGTGGGAGCTGCATGGAGGGGCTGGCCTCTGGCCCCCAGGCTGACTCTCAGCATGGCAGGTGAGGTCAGTTCCCAGGGACCCAGTAGAGTCGAGGACCTAGCCCAGGAGGACTGAGCCAGATGGGCCCTGGTGCCCAGGTGTCCCTGCAGATGCCCTATGAGCCCCTCTCTGTTTACAGGCATCACATGGGGCAAGGTGGTGTCCCTGTATGCAGTGGCTGCAGGGCTGGCTGTGGACTGTGTGCGGCAGGCCCAGCCAGCCATGGTCCATGCCCTCGTGGACTGCCTAGGGGAGTTTGTGCGCAAGACCCTGGCAGTGTGGCTGCGGAGGCGGGGTGGATGGGTGAGTAGAGGGAGCAGATGGGTGAATGGGGGGCAGAGGAGTGAATGAACAGGGTAAGGGCTGGATGGGTGAGCAGGGTGGGGTCCAGAGGGGGTCAGACAGATGGCAGGCGGGTTGAGGTGGAGGGGGCGTGGAGAGGGGGGTAGTGCATACCAGGGGGATGAGGTGGAGGGGCTGATAGAGACAGTGGAGGGGGGTGCAGGTGGGTGGGGGTGAGATGGAAGGAGTGATGGTGGTGGGGTCCAGAAGGGGTGGATTGTAGAGGGTGGGTATGGGGAGAGACCCTGCTCCTGACCTGGCTAGGGTATGGCAAGAGGACATCAGGTCCCCCCATTTCACTGCCTGCTCTGAAGGGTCCCTATACCCCAGCCCACCCGCCCTGATCCCTGCAGTCCCTGCATCTCTGACGTGGTCTCCTCCCTCCAGACTGATGTCCTCAAGTGTGTGGTCAGCACAGACCCAGGCCTCCGCTCCCACTGGCTGGTGGTCACGCTCTGCAGCTTCGGTCGCTTCCTGAAGACGGTTTTCTTTATGCTCCTGCCTGAGAGATGAGCCGCTGACCCTGTTGTGGCCGCAGCCTGGATACTGGGATGAGCCAGAAGGCTGCAGACTGGGAGCATCCCTCCTTCCCCACTGGCTAGGGGCCCTGAGGATGGGCAGAAGCTTGTGGGCTTGGCTGTGGGATGTTTTAGAACCAAGAGCTTGACTCGTGGCCCCAACAACACCCCAGCCAGACACGCATGGCAGTCCTTGGGCAGCACCCCCACTCCTGGAGCAGGTGCTGGACACACCAGAGAGACCTGGTTCCTTCCTTTGAAACTTCTCAGTCAGAAGGAAACCCTGACTCCTGTGATCCCTGAATGAGGTGATGCCTCTCTGTGGCCACCATCCAGAAGTTCCCCTCTATCTCTCAACAGGTTGGAGAGAGGTGAGGGCTAGAAAAAGTCTGCCTGCACTGGGAGCTCACGAGGTGGAGGGCAATACCCACCAGGGACGGCTATACAGTGGCCTGAGGGGTAGATTTATATGCGTGTGTATTTATTGTGGTACAATTACACAACCAAACGACCCTGTATCTTCATGGATGGTGCACTGGCCTGGCTGGTCCTTCCAGATGGTTTCACTCCCATCACCACAAGCTCACCACCCTTAAGCATCAACACCCCGAACCTGGAATTCGCATCTCTGGTTTCCTCCTGTCTACTTGTGTGTATGAGGATGTCAATGTCCTCTGGTGCAGTGTTTCTAGGGTCACCCAGGTGGTAGCATCCAAACCGTACCCTTTTCAACGCCCCTTGTGCGTGCACATAACGCCAGCACCGTCCTCCAGTCCAGCTACATGGAGAAGCCATGGTCACTTCCCAGCAGCCAACAGGGTGATGTGGCCGTGGAGAGGACTATCACAGCTAGGGCCACACCCACTGCCATCTCTTTAGGACTCAACAAGACCTGATGGAAGGGGCACAGCCACCCCTGCCATCCCATCAGGGCTCTGACTTGATGGATGGGGAACAGCTGCCCCGTCCTCTGGTGACTAGCATCTGATCATGGTACTATAGGACTTTTAAATCAAATGCCTGGACAAGGTGAGGCTCTCGGCGGCTGTGATCCTTGACACCTTTGGTCATGTTAACCATACTTGATGAGATAGCCAGAGGGTTCCTAACTGCTAGAGAAGGTGGTAAAGACAAGATTTCACCATCCCAGCTCAAGTCACAAAAAGGGACCCCAAGTCTGTGTCCCTGAAGACTGCCTGTCTAGCCACAGAGCTGAGACTGCTGCACCATGCCTGTGGGTCTCCAACTCCTCCAGGTGTCTGTGGGAGGGCACTGATGAGTCAGACTGGGATCCTGGAGGACAGGGCGGGGCAGAAGAGTAGGGGACAACGGCCCTTGAGCTCTGCCAAGCCTGGTTCCAGAGGGAAAAAAAGGACCATGATTCAAACACATTCTGTTGAGACCCTTTTATTAAGATACAGACAGGATTCAGAGACGTCACCCTGGAACACAGGAGGCTCAGCACGCGCCCTGTCCTGCTGAACGTAAATGCCAGCCCTTTACAGTCACAATGAGGCATTTAGAGTGGTCACTGGAGCTGGGAAGGGCCACACCTGGGCACCTACACACACCACAGATTCCAAGTGTCCAGGTTGGTTCTCAGACCACGTACTTTCTGGTAAATCACCAGGGACACAGCTGGGTTCCTCCCTGTGCCAGCCTGGCGACTTGGGATATCCCTGAGGGAGAGCCCACGGCTGGTCTAACAGTCCGAAATAGCTACTGAGACCAGAACAGAAACAGCTGGCGTCTCCACACTTCAGCCTTCCATGCCCAGGCCTGGAGGTCAGCTGTGAAACTGGTCCCCCACCCTAGAGAGAGCAGTCCTGCCTCTTAAGGGCAAGTAATGTCTTCCCCTGGCAAGGTGCACATGCTGTCTTGGACCCCCATCTAGCCCCATACTTCTGCTGTGAGACAAGCCCGAGCCTAACCCCTTGCTGGGGAATAACCCTGCCGGAAAGCAGGACTGCCCCGTGGGGCTTTCCAGGCTGTCCATGTGCAGTGAGGGGCTGAGTCTTTCTCCCCAAGCTTCTCTCTCTCCGCCCCCAGCCCTTCTCCCACAGAGCAGCTGTTGGGTTTGAACGCCTTTTGGTTAACAGCCAGGTGCTTCATCTCTGCACCACCAGGCTCCTTCTGAGACTCAGGTCCCTTGAGGTGGGAGAAAGTGAGCCCCTGGATGAGATATGCTACACTTGGAAGAGCTGCAGGATCTTTCTACAGAGCAGAGAGCACACAGGGAGTTGGGGTTGTGCAGGGACACTGCCAGTGGAAAGAACAGAAAGGCCAGTCGGCTAGGGTCTCAGGCTGGTTGGTCCTGAGGGGCTGAAGTGCCTGGCGCTCTATGGGAAAGTGTCTGCAGGTAGGGAACTAAGAACCATCTGAACGGCTGTCCACCTGGATGGGGACATGCGGGGCAGTGTAGAGGGCTCCGGAGCTGTGAGGCCAGCTTGGGCCTCCAGACCTGCTGCCGCCAGAGCCCCAGGCCCTATGTTGGGACTCCCAACCTGATTGGTCCAGACCCTGAAGAGGAGGCTGGGAGAGTAAAGTCTTGCCTGTTGCCAGGATTCTCACTGTAACTCCCAGGGGCCCACCAGGCCCTGGGTGTCATGTGGGTGATGCTCACCAAGGAAAATGGACTGGCATCCTCAGGTGCTCATCTCACTCTGCCTCATGACCTTCTATTTGGGCCCCTCCCCATGCTCAACATTTGAGGGACCATCACCAGGGTGGACAAGAGGTGGCTCCATGACACTCAGCTGCTTCCTGCTCTAGCCCTGCCCAGTACCCACATTCCCCAGGTTGCCTGGGGACCCTCAGGCCCAAGTCCAGGGTACACCTGTCTCTCCATATCCCCCCAGGTTGCCTGAGGTCTAGGCTCAGTGCAGTGTCCAAGCCTCCACTAACTCCACCTGCAGAATCCGGACTCCCCTGGAGATCAGGTCAGGGTGAAGCTGTGGCTGTGCTGGGTGTCCCCAAGATATGTGCTCTCACCGCCTTGCCCACTGGTCCCTCCGAGGTGCTGCCCCTGGAGGATGGGGCCCTACCTCTGTCTCCTTCCCTGAGGCTCTACTGCAGGCAGCCTCGTTGCGCTGACAGGAGGCGTTCTGATTTCTAGGTGCTGCCTCCTGCCCTGGAAAAGGAGCTCCCAATAGGGTCCAAATGGTCTGATGGGCAGCATACATCCCAGTGGGAGGCCTACATCCTTGAGAGACAGGTTGAAGCATGCTGTGCAGATGTCCATCTCTCCATGACCCTCTGAAACTGCTCAGGCCACGTCCCTCTCCCTAAACATCTGGAAGCCCAGACTCTCACCACGAATTTCCTGCAATTAAGCCAGAGTCCAATCCAGTCCACCCGATATCTGTGTGGGGCAGGGTCACCATGGGGATAGGATCATCGCAGGGACAGGGTCACTGTAAGGGAAGACAAGTCCTACAGTGGACACAAGCCACTTGGAAGTGGAAGACCAGGAGATGCTTGGCCTCAGTTACCCCTTGATCAGTGCAAGGTTTGAGCCAGGGGATCATGCTCTTTTCTTTCCTCCATGCCTCCTCCAAGTCAGTCCCCTCCTGTAGTAGCCAGGGCACAAGTCATAAAAACAAGCTGGACTTGAAAGATGTCAAGGCAGGTGTGAACAGAGCAAGAAACCCCGCCTTCTGGTATGGAGAGCCAGCCCCAAGTCCAATAAAATCCTACAAGCAGCATACCACTTTCTCAGCTAAAGGATTCATAGGAGAGTCTGGAAAACCCTGAAAAACCAGAGCAGGAAGAACTGGTGCAGCCTGCTCCCAAGTCTCATCCTAGGGCCTGTGTCTCCAGCAGAGAGGGTCAGACAGGTGGCTGCGGGGGAGGCAAGTGCCAGAATCAGCAGACAGAGGGAGAAACCAGCATCTACACCCAAGACGATCTTGTCACCTATGGTGTGGAGAGCCGGCATTCCTACCTCACCCCAGACCCCAACTGTGGAGGGGCAATGGCTGAGCACACCCAGGAAGGTGCTGAGGGAGACGCAGAACTGCCTGCTGCTTTTTACCACAATAAACAAACTCCACTGGGCCAGAGATCTAAATACTGCAGAAGGAGCCTTATATGCAGAGAGAGAAAAGAGTGGGGAACTGGGAGGGAAGGATGCAAACTGTGACTTCAATTTCTTTTACAAATTGTTTTCTTTCTGTGTGAAAAATTTCTATTTAGAATTAGGCAGCTGGACTCCATTTAGATGATCCCAATTTTGTTGGTGACATCCAAAAAGCATCATAGGCAGAATCATGTTGGACATAGCCCCCTAATCAAGGGGCCGCATCAGTGTCATAGGGCTTCTTTACAGTTTGTTTGAGTTGATGCCTGTTGACCTTGGCATCCATACACAAAGAACAAATACGTTGTTATCTTCTGTCGTCTTCATGTCTGACTCATTGGTCAGGGGAAACTTGATGATGGCACAGTGGTCAAGCCTGTTTCTCCTCTTTGGGGGTCTTAGAACACAGGAAGGTGGGTAACGTGCAGATCTTTTTTTGTGGCTGTGGATGCCCTTTAGGCCGCCTTCTTGGCCTTTAACGCCTTTGCTTTGGTTCTGTTTTGAGAGGAACAGGGGCTTCTGCCTTGTTTTCAGCACCATCTTTGTGGAAAGACGAGTTATTTTGAGTGTAGGTTTACAAATTGTATTAAATTTTCATACAATCATTCAAACTATGATTTTAAAATTCAACGCCAGACTGACAGGTTCTCTCTCTCTCTCTCTCTCTCACACACACACTCACTCTCTCTCTCTCTCATACAGCTAAAAACCAACTGGCAAGAGCAGTCCAGTAAAGATACACAGCATATCAGAAAAACTTCTAATATTGTAAAAATTTATGTATTTTAAAACTTATGTACCATTGAGTTGGAAATGACTCATAGCTGACCCTCCAGCAGGTTTTCAGAGGTGGTAAGTAACACAGGAGATTGCCTATCCTTCTCCTGCAGAGCAGTTGGTGGATTTAAACAACACACCTTTCGGATTGCAGTGCAGCTCCTTAATAC